GGGGGGGGGGGGTGGGGGGGGTCCAGGCGGGCGCAGGGCTGGCACCGCGGAGCAAGCGTGCGCATCTGGCCCGGTCGTGCCTCGGTCGTGCCTCGGTCGTGTCTCGGAGGTGTCTCGGAGGTGTCTCGGAGGTGTGTGTTTGGGAGGTGTCTCGGAGGTGTCTCGGAGGTGTCTCACACCCGCCAAAGACATACAGCGCGTTGGTCGCCTCGTGCACGGCGGTCGACGGGGCAGAGCGCGCGCCTAATCTCGGGCAATCTCGGGTAATCTCGGGTGATCTCGGTTGATCTCGACGGTGCAGAGCGCGCGCCTGGCGCCGTCCCCGCGACCCGCACCGGCGCCCACTCGGCGGAGTGCACGTCGAAGGCGAGCGTGTCGTTGAAGTAATTCCACCCGTCGCAGCCGCCAAACACAATCAGCCGGCTGCCATGCACCACTGCGGCGTGGCCGCCCCGTGGGGAGGGGGGGGAGCCGGAGGCGGCCTCGACGCGCCACTCGCCGCTGTCGAGGCCTACGTGTACCATACCTCCAGGGTATCGAACCCAGTCTGGGTTCAGTCCCGTGGGTGGTGCGGTAGCGAGCGGGCCGTAAGAGTGGAAGTCCGCGAGGTACCGCTTCGAGTCGTAGCCTCCGAACACGTACAGCCGGCCGCCGAGCAGGACGGCTGCATGCGCGTCTCGCGGCGTGGGGCGGCCGTCGCCATCGACTTCAGAGTCGACGGTCCACGAGCGCGTCTCGAGGGACAGGACGAGCAGGTCGTTGCGGTATGTCGTTCCGTTGTGGCCGCCAAAGATGTACACGCACGCACCTGAAACGACCGCCGAAGGAAAAACCCGCGAGCCGGGAGAGCCGCCCACAAAATCGACTGGCGTCCAGCGCGGGCCAAACTCGCCCGCGGGCTCGGCGCAGGAGGGGCCCGGGGCGGGCGCGTCCGCTGGCTCGAGCTCCTGCTCAATCAGCGAGGCTTGCATGATGGGCGGCGGCAGAGCGCACGGCCGCTCAGGCGGAGGAGGAGCGGCGCGAGAGGGAGGCCGACCAACACCGAGCAACACCTGCCCGCCCGGCGGAGGAGGAGCGGCGGAGGCCGACCAACACCGAGCGAGAGGGAGGCCGAGCCGGGCAACTTGCCGAGCCCGCCCTTCCCGATCGGCTGGGTTCGGGCTCCCTGCGGATAGGGGGAGCTTGTTGGGCATGGGCTTGCCTCCCGAAAACTGGCCCGAGGAACCTTGCTGAAAGCAAACGAAAAAGAATTTCGCCCGTGCCTCCGGCAAGGGGCCGACGACCCATGTCTGCTGTGTGATCTGTCGTACCCAAATATGCTAGTCTTTGTTACAAATCTCTACAGCAAAAAGAATTTCGCGCCTGCTCCCGCCGAGGAACCTTGCTCAAAGCAAACGAAAAAGAATTTCGGGGGCAAACGACGAGCGCTCCCATGCCCGGCCGACCAAAAGCTGGCTCGGCCGGCTCCCGGCGCGGACACGCTTCAACGGCGGCTGCTGCGCCGCTCGCGCTGCCGAAAAAGATCCAAGCCGCGGCGGCGGCCGGCAAGGCGGGCGTGGTGCAGACGTGGCTCGCCGGGGACGGGCGGGCTGACGCAACGTGCGTGCGTGGCGGTGTGAGTGGCTGGACGCTCCTGCTGATCGCCGTCGCCCACGGTCACAAGCAGCTGGTCGAGGTTCTGCTGAAGCGGGGCGCGAAGCTGGACGCGCAAAACAGCGTCGGCCTCACGGCACTGATGGCCGCCGCCAACCAAGGCCACGTGCAGGTGGCCGAGATGCTGCTGCGGCACGGCGCGGAGATCAACCATCAGGACAGCGGCGATTGCACTGCGCTAATGTGGGCCGCCACCCAAGGCCACGAGCGGGTGGTCGACTTGCTTCTGCGGCACGGGGCGGAGGTCGACCTGCAGGACGGCGGTGGCCACACTGCGCTCGCGCGCGCCGCCTATCGCGACCACCCTGCCGTCGTGCTCCGCCTGCTTCGGGCGGGCGCAGACGCGGCGCTGCGTTCTGACGGCGGCAAGTCTGCGCTGCAGCTGGCCAAGGAGAATGGCCACGCCGAGTGCGTCGAGGCAATCAGGCAGCACGTCAAGGAGGTGGCCAAGGCGGGGCGGCGCGAGGCGGCGGCGGGCGGCGCGGGCGGCGCTTCCTCGGGCACGGCAGCGGCAGCGGTGGACGCGCCGCTGCTCGGCCAGCGAGTCGTGCTCGGCGGGCTCTCTGCCCGCCCCGAGCTGAACGGGCGGCGGGGCGTGGCTCAGAGCTTTGAGGGCGGGCGGTACGCGGTGGCGCTCGAGGGTGGCGGCGAGAGCGTGCGGGTGCGGCCGGAGAGGCTGCGGCCAGTGGAGGCGGCGGAGCAGGCGTCGAGCGGTGTCGCGGCAGTCTCCGAAGCGGTTGTGCAAGCGGCTGAGCGAGGCGAGGAGGAGGCGGTGCTGGCGTGGCTCGAGGGCGGCGGGCGGGTCAACGCGACGTACGAGAGAGGCGAGGTGAGCGGCGTCTCGCTGCGAACGCTGCTGATGGGCGCCGCCAACTACGGCCAGGAGCGGCTGGTCGAGCTGCTGCTGCGGTACGGCGCGGAGCTCAACCTGCAGGACAGCGTCGGCATCACCGCGCTGATGTACGCCGCCCGCAGCGGCCACGAGCGGGTGGCCGAGCTGCTGATTTGTCACGGCGCGGAGATCAACAAGCAGGACAGCGCCGGCGGCACCGCGCTGATGTACGCCGGTAACGAGCGGGTGGTCGACTTGCTGGTCCAGCGCGGCGCGGAGATCAACCTGCAGGACAGCGACGGCGATACCGCACTGATGAACGCCGCCTTCCAAGGCCACGAGCGGGTGGTCGAGCTGCTGATTCGGCACGGCGCGGAGATCGATCTGCAGAACAGCGAAGGCTGCACCGCGCTGATGCTCGCCGTCTTGCAGGGCCACGAGCGGGTGGTCGACTTGCTGCTGCAGCACGGCGCGGAGATCAACCTGCAGGACAGCAACGGCCGCACCGCGCTGATGCGCGCCGCCTCCTACGGCCACGAGCAGGTGGCCAAGCTGCTGCTGCAGCACGGGGCGGATATCAACTTGCAGAGCAGCAAGGGTGGCACCGCGCTGATGGGCGCCGCCTCCTACGGCCACGAGCGGGTTGTCGAGCTGCTGCTTCAGCGCGGCGCGGAGGTCGACCTGCAGAGCAGCGACGGCTGCACCGCGCTGATGCTCGCCGCCGGCCACGGCCACGAGCGGCTGGTCGACCTGTTGCTGCAGCACGGCGCGGACATCAACCTGCAGAACAGCGACGGCGGCACCGCGCTGTTGATCGCCGCCTACTCCAGCCGGCCCGCCGTCGTGCTCCGCTTGCTGCGGGCGGGCGCGGATACGACAGCGCGCACTGCGAGCGGCAAGACAGCGCTGCAGTACGCCAAGGAGGCGGGCCACACCGAGTGCGTGCGCGCCCTCGAGGAGCATGCGGCGGCCGAGAAGGCGGCCGAGAAGGCGGCGAAGGAGGCGGCGTGGGCTGCGGGGGCGGCGGAGAGGGCGGCGGAGCGGGCGGCGGCGGAGGCGGAGGCGGCGCGGCACGCCGAGGAGCTGCTGGCGGAGGTCGAGGCGGAGAAGCGCGGCAAGGGCAAGAAGGGCAAGAAGAAGAAGAAGGCCGGCGGGAGCGGCGGCGCTGGGCCGTCGCAGGAGTCCGAGGCGCCGGCAGAGGAGGCAGCCGCAGCCAAGCCCGCGAAGCTGGACAGGGAGGGGTTGATCAGGCTTCTCGAGACGCTCCACGAGGAGCGGATTCGGTACGGCATCACGGCGGAGACGTCGGTCGCGGGGCTGGCGGAGGCGTTGGGAGAGGAGGCCGCGGCGGCAGGCGAAGCGAGCGAGGAGACAGCGGGGGAGACAGGGGAGGCGGCAGCGGAGGCGGCAGCGGAGGCGGCAGCGGAGGCGGCAGCGGAGGCGGCAGCGGAGGCGGCAGCGGAGGCGCGCCGAGAGGCTGAGGCTGAGGCAGCCGAGGCTGTGGAGGAGGAGGAGGAGGCCGCGGCGGCGGAGGAGGCGGCGGCCGAGGCGGCAGTTGCAGCGGTAGCGGTGGCCGCGGCGGCGGCAGAGGCGGCGCTCGCCGCAGCCAAGGCGAGGCGCGTCTCGGCGGCCGCTGCGAGGGCGAAGGCGCGGGAGGCAGCCTAGCCCGCGAAGACCAAGAGGTCTGTTGCGTGCTGGCGCGCACTGGCAATGGCCAATGCCAATGGCGGGAAGGGTATGGAAGCTTGTTCTGCGTGCTGGCAATACCAATGCGCAACTGCACGGGGGGAAGATACTGCTACTGGGGCTCTGGTCTATGGTGAAGGCGAAGGGTCGTGCGTGTGTCTCTCTCGGCACTCGGGGAGAGGCTTTCCGGGGGTCTGGGCGCCGGAGGGGGGGGGGGGATACGGACTGCGGTGTGCGCGCACCGCACAGAACACAGACACTGTCGACACTCACTCTGTCTCTGAGTTACTGACATAGCTTTTGTGAGACAGAGTCAGAGACAGTTTTGACGACGAAAACTACTTTTATTCGGCAAACACCACATGAAAAATCGGTAACCCACACACAAACCAGCCTCCGCGCTCCGGCGCGGGCGGGGCCCCCCGCTACCGTCCAAACCCGAGTACACAGCGCTCTCCGAGAGCGCTGCGCAGACGGGTTACTATATCTAGATAGACGCTCAAGTGACAAGTCACACTCGGGCTCGAGCACACGGGTGCCATCACTGCCATCTGCACAAGGCATTACTCTCACGACACATGGGGACCGGGTGGAGCGGCGGCGGCGGCGGCACGCGCGCGCGACGCTGCGCACCGCTCCACAGCAACGGTAGCCGCACGCCGCCGCAAGAGGACGGCACGCCGCCACCACACAGGGATTTAATCATTACCTTAAGGTACGTCCCTACAGTCGATGCACCGTGCAAAAAGGGCCTAAGATATGCTCCTTGCGCACCAGTTACTTGCGCTTGGGCGCAGCGCGATCGCGTTCCTGCTAAAGGTCGAAACCGGGTTCAACAGAGCGCAACGGTCGCGAGCCGCTGCGATCGCAAGCACCATCAAATCGACGAGGAGGGCCCGGGTGCTGCTGGCCCTGTCGTAGCGGCTGGCGTGGAAGTGAGACACGAGTCGCTGCTCCACCAGTGGAAGCTGGTGGTCGGACGCGACATAAACCTCTTTGAGACTACAATGACTCAGGGAGTCCCGCACAAAGGTCGGCGTCAGATTGCAGATTGGCGTCAGAGACCGGTTGTAGTGCAGTCGGCGCTCACAACTCCCTTCCAAATTTCGCACGTGCACCGCCGCCGTTACGGTGCAGAACGGCGCAAGTTCCTTTCGAAGATCCCCTTTCGGGTGCTTCAGCAAAAGTGCCAAGGCGTCGTCGAAGACGCTGCGGTTGACCGCATGCAGCAAGGGATGCCGACGGTGGAAGCTCACCTCGGCAGTGATATTGGTAGTGGAGGGGCAGTGATTGGAAATGCAAAACGAGCGCCTGCTCTCCGCCAAATCAAAGTGATCGACAAACGGCTTCAGGACGGACGGAATGCAGACTGGCGAGCCGGTCAATTTTGAAAGCACCATCATGGTGGCCATTTGCACCAAATTGTTGTTTGTGCGGCCAGCAGGAGAGAACGATAGAGCGTGCCCGTTGCATGACACCATGTACGAGATTGCCGCCCGCGCGCTGTCCACAGCTCTCAGTTGGCTCTCTTTCCTCTGTGGTTGAGCCTCTCTTTCTCCCTCTTCTCAGCTGTCTCTCTCTCTCAGTCTCTCTCGGTCTCTTCTGCTACGAATGGGGCGAATGGGGACGGCCTCGAGGACTTGTCGCTCGCCCCAATAATTCCCGGACGAGGGGTCTGCAACAGAGATAGGGTCGACTCCGCAGGGTCTGTGACAGGCCTCTCAGTTCACGCCGGAATCGTGAACCGTGAACCGTGAACCAACTAGCCCCCGCCCCGAGTCGTGAACCCCGAACCGTGAACCGACTAGCCCCCACCCCGAGTCCGTGAACCGTGATCCGTGAACCGACTCCTCCCGCGACACCCGCCGCGAACCGTGAACCGTGAACGAACCGAGTCTGGCGAACCGGCGGTGAACCGCCGGTTCGCGAACTGGATTCGCGAACTGGTTCGTGAACCGCCCCCACCAAGTTCGCGCGGCGGTTCGCGAACGGTTCGCGAGAACTGGTTCGTGAACCGCCCCACCAAGTTCGCGCGGTTATCAACTAATTCGAACCGCGAACGACTGCGAATCAAACTCGATGGAGACCTACTTGCCGGGGGCGCATAGTCCTTCTCGTGCTTGCGCATGTACTCCAATGAAGGCGCGGTTCATGCGGAGAATCACCACCATCGAGTACTCCTCCGCGTTGAGACTGAGGCGGTGACGCGGTGCACCACCTGCTTGGCGCAGAAAGACTCGGCCATGAGGGCGCCGAAAGACTCGCCATCGCCGGGAGGAAGCCAAACCGTGGCTGCTTCTCAAGGTCGCGTAAATCCGTCCCATGTCCAGGTGAAGCTGGTCGATGAGGTCCTCTTGAGGATCGAAGTCGTACTTGTCGTTCTCCTGTGAACAAGCGCGATACGGATTCGAAAGTAAAATCCGTAAGTTATTCGGAGGAGCGTGGGCGGCAAAACTGTATGTTAGGGCTGAGGGGCGACAGACGGCCGGCGGGCAGAGGCACAGGTAGCCCACCATCTCGTCTTTTCCTTCGAATTTCTGGGTCTCGGTTCACGGGTGATTCGCGAACTGTGGTTCGCGAACTGTGTCGGTGTGTAAGAGGTGTGAAAGGAAGCTTGGTTCATGAACTAGTTCAGTGGTTTTCACCCTCGAACCGACCATGAACTCTGAACCGTGAACTCGAACCGAGGCAGGACATAAGGGCGAACCGCGAACCGTGAACGAACCAGGCGGGGCAGCGTCGGGCCGAACCGTGAACCGTGAACCGACTAGCACCCGCCCCGAGTCCGTGAACCGCGAACCGTGAACTAACCGTGAACCGCGAACTGGTTCATGAACTGGGTTCACGGTTCACCTCGTGAACTGAGAGGGCTGGTCTGTGATTTTGTCTGACTCGCGCCAAAACGCTCTACCTACCTATCTATTGCGGGCGCCGACCGCCAGGCTCCGTGCCCCACCTGCGTTCTTCCCAAGTTGGATCGTACTTTACGAAACGTGCGTCCTGCGTCCTCCGCCTCGTTTCACGGTGGCGCCATGTGTGTTCATGCGCGGGGGTGCTGGACCTCTTCTTCTCTCGTGACCGTTGAGCTCGGTATGTGAAGAAAGGCTACCGCCCGCTCGTACCTCGCGGGGCTATCGCTCAACCTGCCTATGCCGCCAGCCGCGCATGGTGCCGGGTGAATTCACGTTTTCCCATACGGCTCCATCTGAAAATCCGGGGCCAGGGTTCGGGCTCCTAGCCGGAAACCAAAACGCCCCACACCTACCTCCTATCCCTCGCCGCGCTTCGAAACGACGCGTCCTACCTTCCTGCCTGCGGAGCCCGAACCCAGCCAGCGTCGACCGGGTCAAGGTCGATTAAGTAAGTGTGCTGCCTGCCGCCGCCGCCACATACCGACAGGACTGCTAAACTGCCGCCGCCGCCACACACCGACAGGACTGCTTAACTGCTGCCGCCGCCTTACAGTGAATGCCGCCGCCAGCCGATTTGTGCGACAGTTGTGGCCGCTCGCTCGCAGCAGACGAGCCGCGGCAGCGCTGCAGCGACGAGCGATGCGACGAGCTGCGACGCTGCCGAGCTTGCGCCGGCGAGCGCTGCCCGAGGTGTGGCGGCGATGACTCGCTCTTTGTCGATGAGGCATCTCCGCTCGCGCTGCGCCGGCGCGTCTTTGCCGAGGCGTTTGCGACACAGGCCGGCGGCTCGGAGGCCGTCGACCCGCGGCTGCTGGTCGCGCGTGCCTTTGCTGCCTACGCCGGCCGGCCGCTGCTCGGCGAGCCGCGAGCCGACGGCAGTGTCCGGTGGTGGAGCTATGGCAGGTGCGGCGCTGCGGCGCGCGCACTCGGCGACGAGGTGAGGCGGCGGTGCGGCGGCGGTGGAGCAGCGGTCGTCATCTGCGCCTCCAACAGCGCCGGCTGGCTTCTTGCGGACTGGGCCTGTGCGCTGGTGGCTCGGCCTAGATGCGGATTCAGATCCACATCTCCCCGTATCTCCCCACATCACGAGGCCTAGATGCGGCGCACGGGCATCTCCTCGCATCTCCCCATCTCTCGAGGCCTAGATCAAGCGGTGTGCAGCTGTCTCCGTAGCCCACGTGTTCCGCCGCCGCGGGCTCCGAACACACGGCACGAGACCGTACTCTCGCCCTGACCTTGACCCTTCGTGACGCAGGCTGCGCTGCCTTCGATCGCGGCAGACGCGTCCGCCGCCCCTGCGGACGCGCTGGCGGCGGCGCGCGAGGCGGCGGCGGTGCGCGCGCGCACGGTGGCGGTGGCGGTGGTGGATGAGGCGCACGCCGGCGACTGGAGGCGGCTCGGGGATAGAGTTGGTAGAAAGACTAGAGGGGTGAAGACACCATCTGTGCCAGCGACCGGACACCAGCGCGGGAAGGGTGGGGCGCTAGGCGAGCCGGAGAGGCGGCCACACGGGAGCGACACACAGACCACATAGACACAAGACTCTCTGTCGGCACTGTCTGTCGGCACAGTGCTGCCGCGCGTCCTGGCGCACCAGGCGGCTGCTGGGCGACGGGTGCGTCCTCACAGCGCAGGAGGTGCGAAAGAGGCTGCTTGCAGGGGGGCGGAGGGGCGAGGGAGGCGGCGAGGGCGGCGGCGAGGGAGGCGGCGAGGGAGGCGGCGAGGGCGGCGGCGAGGCGGTGGGCGGCGGGCGGATCGCCGCGACACCAGACGCCGCCACAGCAGAAGAGCGGCTCGTCACGTGCCTCTTCTCCTTCGGCTCCACTGGCGCGCGCAAGCCTCTCTGGTTCGATGCGCGTCGGTGCGCGGAGCTACGCGCCACCAGACACCTCCCAGACACCTCCTAGACACCTCCCAGACACCTCCTAGACACTTCCTAGACCCCTCCCAGACGCCTCCCAGACGCCTCCCAGACACTTCACGGGCGCGCGCGGACGGTAGGTGGGCCGAGTGGAGCGAGCGCTGCCCGCCCGTCTCGAGGCGCGGAGGGGTGGCTAATGAGTGTGCATGAGGAAGTCTGAATTCTTATACCTGCCCGCCCGTCGGAAGGCGTGCGCGCGCCGCTCTCGCCCGCCGGTGCGCCTGCGCAGCTCGTCCGCCGCCTCTCGAGGAGGGATGAGGAGCAAGGGAGAGAGAGAGAGAGAGCGCTGAATAGGAGTGTCCGCGTCTCGTGCGGCGCGCTCTTTGCGCCTCTCTCCCACGGGCAGGCGCCGGACACGTCCAAGACTCTCCCGAGACACGCCCGAGACACGCCCGAGACACCTCCGAGACACCTCCGAGACATCTCAGCCTCTCGGTCCTCCCGCCCCTCATGCAGGCGCGGCGGGCGGCGTGGGGCGAGCTGCTTCACGGTTGGCGGCTGCCTCGAGATGACCCGAGATGACCCGAGATTTGGGCGTCTGGTAGGCGAGCTGCTCCACGGCGGGCGGCTCGGCCTCTGCAGTGGCCGGGGCGGGAGCGCCGCGGGAGGGCACGGGCTCCTCGAGCAGATCCGAGCCGTCGCACCGACACAGCTGGCCGCCGCGCCGCGCTTCTTCTCGCTGTACGAGCGCCGGTTCGCGTCGGAGCTCACCGCGGCCGAGGCGGCGGCGGCCGAGGCGGCGCACAAGGCGGAGGAGGCGGCGGCGCAGGCGGCGCAGGCGGCGGCGGCCGACGCGGCGGACGAGGCGGACGAGGCGGAGGCGGTGGAGGCGGCGGAGGAGGCGGCGGGGGGGGCAGCGGAGGAGGCGGAGGAGGAGGCGGCGGGGGGGGCGGCGGAGGAGGCGGAGTCGGCAGAGTCGGAGGCAGCGGCGGCGGCGGCGCGGGCGGCGGCGCGGGCGGCGGCGCGGACGGCGGTGCGGGCGGCGGCGCGGGCGGCGGCTCTTGCTGCGGTGCGGCGGCTGGGCGGGCCTCGGCTGCGGCTGGTGGCTGTCGGCGGCGCGGTGGTGCCGCAGGCGCAGCTGGCCTTCCTGCGCGAGGTGTTTGGCGGCGCCGGCTGTGCCGTGTCGAACGGGTGGCGGGATGAGCGGGGTGGCGGTACCAACAGCCGATGGCTGACTGACTGGTGAGGATTGGACTGCAATCGTCAGGTGCGGGATGAGCGAGATATGGGGAGATATGGGGAGATATGGGGAGATTGCAGGAGATTGCAATCCTTAGGTACGGGATGAGCGAGGTGCCATATCTCCCCACATCTCGCCACATCTCGCCACATCTCCCCATATCTCCCCGCAGGTACGGGATGAGCGAGGTGCCGGGCGGGATCGCGCGCGACGGCGTGCCCCTCCCCGCGGGGCTGCCTACCTTCGAGGAGCACCCCATTCAGCGGACGAGTCACGGACGCTAGGCGTGCCTCTCCCCGGGGTGGAGGTGAGGCTGCGGCCGCTGCCGGGCGCCGGGCCAGGCGCCGGCGAGATCCTTGTCAAGACTTCTCGCGGCGTCATCGTCGGCGGCGGCGGCGCGCCACGGCTCGACGCGGACATGTCGAGGACGCGTCCATGACATGTCCGAGACACGTCCCGCAGGCGCGGCGCGGCTCGACGCCGACGGCTGGTTCCGCACCGGCGACATCGGCCGGTGGGTCGAGGGGGCGGCGGGCGGCGGGAGGCGCGCTGGGGTGGTGGAGGGGTGGAGTGGAGGGGCAGCTCTTCACCGCTGCGCGGCGTGGACAGGCTGCTCGAGGTAGTTGATCGGCTCGGCTTCGCGGTCAAGCTGAGCAACGGCGAGTCTTGGTCGCGGCTCCTCTCGACTCACTTTGTCTCCTCTCGGCTCTCGGCTCACCTCGGCTCACCTCGGCTCCTCTCGGCTCCCCTCGGCTCCCCTCGGCTCCCCTCGGCTCCCCTCGGCTCCTCTCGGCTCCCCTCGGCTCCCCTCGGCTCCCCTCGGCTCCCCTCGGCTCCCCTCGGCTCCCCTGGCCTGATCTCGGCTCATCGGCTCCCCTGGCTCCTCTCAAAGGCGAGTTTTGGACGCCGCAGCGCGCAGAGGCCGCCTTCGAGGCTGGCTGCGCCTCCGTCGACCGGCGCGTGCGAGACCACTCAGAGACCACTCAGAGACCACTCCGAGACCCTTCCCAGACCCTTCCGATACCCTTCCGAGACCCTTCCGAGGCACCTCCGAGGCCCTCCGAGACTTTCAGAGCCACTTCTTCTAGACACGTGTCGCGGGTGCCTGCTCTTTGCTCGAGATTACCCGAGATTACCCGAGATTACCCGAGATGACGCGTGTCGCAGGTGCTTGCTCTTTGCTCGCGCGGGCGACGCGGCGGCGACTGCGGTGGTTCTGCTGAGGCGGGAGGCAGTCGCGACTCCCGCCGCAGTGCTGGGCGAGATGCGTGGCGCGGCGGCGGCGGCGCGGCTCGCGGCCTGACGAGCTGCTCCGGCTGCTTCCTCAACCACCTACCGCGACTTGACCACTGGTGACTAGGCGCGGCTGCAGGCCCACGAGCTGCCGTGTGCCGTGGCTATCGACCCCGGCCCGTGGGACGAGGCGAGATTGCCCGAGATTGCCCGAGATGGCCCGAGATTGCCTGAGATGGCCCGAGATGGCCCGAGATCGCCCGAGGTTGCCCGAGATCGCCCGAGATCGCCCGAGATCGCCCTCGGCTCATCTCCCGGCCCGTGGGGGGACGAGGCGAGCGGCTGCTGCTCGGCGCACGGAAAGGTGCGCCGCGAGGTGGTCGGGCGGCGGCACGGGCTGCTGCTCGGGGGTGGCGGCGCTGGCGGCGCAGGCGGCGGCGGCGGGGCGGGCGAGGGCGGCGGCGACGGGGTGGGCGAGGGCGGCGGTGATGGGGACGGCAGCGGAGACGGCGACGGCAGTCGCGAGGGCGGCGTCGCGCGGCTGCTTCGCTTCCTCGACGCCCCGAGCGACGCCGAGGCGGCGGCGCTGTTTCCCGCCGACCTCGCCGCGAGCAGCGGCTGGTTCGAGGCGCTGGGCGGCGACAGCGTGGCGGCGGTGGAGGTGGTGCACGCATGGGAGGAGCGGCGGGGCGGGCGTGCAGGCGAGACGTTCCAAAAGTTTCCTCCCCCCCCCCCCCCTCTCCGCCTCTCTGGACTCTCGCACCCCCTCCTCCACCTCCTCCCCCCCCCCCTCCGCTCCTCTCCAACTCCCCTTCCCCCTCTCCCCTTAGGGCGCGCCGCGCCGCGGCTGCACGCTGCTCTGCTCTTCTCCCTCAGCCCGTGGCAGCTGCGGCGCAAGACGCGGGCGCTCGAGGGCGGCACCGCAGGCGCTGCGGAGGGCGACGCCGCGGATCCGATGCCGCCGGCCGCGTGGGAGAGGGAGGCGGCGGAGCTAGCGGCGGCGGCGGCGGGGGGAGGGGGAGGGGCCGCCGATTGCACGCCCGCGGGCTGCGGGGCGGGCGGCTTCACGGCTTGCGAGGGCGTCGCGCTGGGCGGGGTGGCTGACGGCGCGTGCGTGCTCCTGACTGGCGCGTACCGGCACGCTGGTTTGTCTTCTGTCATCTCGGCGCATCTCGGCGCATCTCGGCGCATCTCGGAGCCTAGGCGCCACCGGCACGCTGGGTCCGCGCCTGCTCGCGTCGCTGCTCGCCGACGGCTGGCCGGTGGTTGCGGTGCTGCTGCGAGGCGAGGCTCGGCGCGTCGCCACCGCGGGAATCGGCAGTGACGACCGCGTGCGCCTCTTCCGCGCCGACCTCGCCACACCCGGCCTCGGCCTCGCCCCGGCCGACCGCGCGGTGCCCGGGCCCGCTCGACGAGCGCGCGGCTCCTCTCGGCTCCTCTCGGCCCATCTCGGCTCCTCTCGGAGGCTAGGCGCTCAGCCGGCCCGTCGCCCCTAGATGCGGTTCCACACCTCCCCGTACCTCCCCGTATCTCGAGGCCTGCTAGCGGGCTGTCTCCGGCTGTGTTGCAGCCGTGCTCACTGGACTCGCAGCCCGTGTACTCGTGCGATGCTCCAGCACACGGCGCGATACCGCCCTCCCCGCCCCGACTCTGCTGCGTTCGCGACGCTGGCTCGACGCGCGCGCGGTCACGTCCAGGACATGTCCAAGACATGTCCCGGACATGTCCCGCAGGCTAGACGTGCGCGCGGTCGTGCACAGCGCCGCCGCTCTCGACCTCGGCCGGCCGTACGCCGCGCTGCGCGCAGCCAATGTCGGCGCCACCGCGGCGCTGGTTGACCTCGTCAGCCGCGCCGGCCGGCCGCCCCCCCTCTTCCTCTTCGTCTCCACGCTGTCCGTCATTCCGGTGGCGTCCGCTGCCGCCGCCGCGGGCTGGCGGGCCGAGTCGGGCGAGGAGCTCGTGCCGCCGGCGTGCGCTGCGGCGCTCGAGACGGGCTACGCGCAGAGCAAGCTGCCCGCGGCGCGTGTGGACATGCCCGTGACACGTGTCCATGACATGTCCGAGACATGTCCCGTAGGCAAGCTGCTCGCGGAGCACTTGCTCGCGGCCGCCGCCTCGTGCGGCCGCATCCGACTCATCATCGCGCGCCTCGGCCTCCTCGGCCCCGCCGCAGCCGCCTCCACCAGCGCCACCGCCGCTTCCACCAGCGCCACCGCCGCCTCCGCTTCCCTCGCCGCTACCGCCGCCCCCGCTTCCACCGCCTCCACCGCCTCAGCCGCCTCCACCGCCAGCCCCTCCTCCACTCTCTCCGCCGCTTCATCCGCCACCGCCGCCGACTCCGCCGTCGCCGTTTCCTCCACCGCCTCCGCTGCAGACGCCTCCGCGCTGTCCACCGCCGCCGCCGCAGCCGACGGGCGGTCGCAGCTACGCGATTGGCTGTCGCTGCTGCTGTGCGCCGTGCGCGCGACGGGCGCCAGTCCCGCAGGCATCGCATCGGGAGGCAGGTCAGTCTCGGCTAATCTCGGGGCAATCTCGGGGCGATCTCGGGCGATCTCGGGTCGTCTCGGCCAACGGAATCGCCTCCGAGTCAGGTCCGTCGCCGTTCTGCCGGTGGACGTGGCGGCGGCGCGGCTCGCCGAGCTCGCCGCCGGGGGCGCCGCCGCGGGCTCGGCCGCCTCTGGGGCTGAGGCCACCGACGCGCCGGTGCGGGTGCGACACTTGGACGCCGCGGCGTTCGGCCTCGCGGCGCTGCCTCTCGCGGCGCTGCTCGACAAGGCGACTGGCGGCGCGGCGCGGGTCGAGATGCCGTACAGCTCGTGGCGACGCGCCGTCGCGGCGGCCGGCCCGCCCGCCTCCCTCGCGCTCGCGGCGCTGCCTCCGCCGGGGCGAGGCGGGGAGCTGCGCTTGCCCGCGGGGGCGCGCCGGCGGCTGCGCCAGATCACCGCACGCGAGCGCGCAGCGGCGGGCGGGGCTGCGACGGGAGAGGCGGCGGGCAAGGCGACCGGGTAGGGCTCAGCACGGCCAGAACCACGTGGTGCGTGACCTGCACAGCTCCTTGAGTATGTTTATGTGCGGCAAATAAGAGCCCGAGGCTCGCGTGAGGATGAAGCAGTCAAAGACAATGCGCGGTGAGAGAGTCGTCAGCCCGGCGGGAGTCACCACTGCGCTCCAACTCAAAAGAGAGTTGTCACTTGTCTCGGGCAAGGGCACGAGTGGCACCGCGTGAGCGTCCCGCCGGGAGGTAGCATTTAAGTGCGCGCGCGTGCCAATGGCCGCGCTCAGTGTGTATAGGAAACAGAGGATGTATATCATAAGGTGTAGTCGGATGGGAGAGTGCGTAGGCGAAGCTTGGCCGCCGTCGCCTCCACGCCTCCTCCTCCTCCTTCTCTGACTCCGAGGAGGGCGGGGGAAGCGGCTTCGGCGGCGAGGCAGGCCGCGCCGACTCCGGTGCGTCGGCGCGCTGAAGCGACTCCTCCCCATCGTCGACAAGGATGTCGGCGAGGAGCGAGAGTCCGGAGAACACCGATCCGGTCTTCGAGCCGCACGGGTCGAGGTTGCGCAGCATCTTCTCGTGGGTGTCGGCCTGATGAAAGAGGTAGGATGGCAGCTGCCGCCTCGTGTAGATGCCGACGTGCATGTCCTCGCTCTCGTCGTATGGTGCTGCGCGGCGCTCGACCATGCGGAAGACCACCTCGTCGTCCTCCCAGACCGCGGCGGTGATTTTTGAAGGCACTAGCGGCTGGAGGGACTGCCCGATGCACAACGACTGCGCTCAGATCGGCTGACTCGGGGTTGGCCAACATCTGGGCAGCAAGCAGGGCGCGCGCTCAGGGGGCGCTGCGCGGCTGCGCGTGCAGGGCAGGGGCGGCGGCGGGCGGGCGTCGGCGGGCGCGAGGCGCGCGGCAGGCGACACACGTGCGCTCGTGGGGCGGCGAGCGAGCGAGCGGCGCTGCGCGCAGAGAGTAGGGCGGCGGCGGTGGGGCAGAGCACGCGGCGGAGGAGGGGCGGCGCGCGGCGAGCCGCCGGGTGCGCGGCGGGCGCCGGGGGTGCGCGCCTCGGGCGCGCCCAGCGAGCACGAGCAGAGCAAGGGTGTGCGGCGCTCAACGGGTGTGGCGGTGCCGCGTCCTAATGCTGGGCGCTCCGCCTGGCGCGGCGCCGAGGGGCAGGCGGCGATAGACGGCTGCGCGCCTCCCCACGCCTCCGCTGCCGTCCAGAGCTGCCCCAGGCGTGCCTCCGAGCCACACGGGTCGGCTGCGGCAGCCGGAGGCGGCTCGCGCGACGCGCGGCGAGGGCAGAGCCCTCCCTCGGTCGGCTGCCGACAGCGCGAGCGGCGCCGATGTGAGACGGCCTCGTTCTCGACTTTTGCAGCGGCTCGGGCACGATCGCCGCCGCGGCGGCGTGGGAGGAGGCGACGACGCTCGACCTGGGCGGCAGCACCGCGCCGCTGCCGGTGGGTGACGCTGCCCGGGCTCTCCTCGCTGCATGCATGCGTGACCTATATACCCCGCTCCGCTTGGGTGCCCAGCCAATCGGGTGGTACAGCGCTGTGCATCACCTTGTGCGAGGCCCTCGTCTACGTCGGCGACGGCGGGAGGCACGCGGTCCTGGTGTACGAGTGCGCTCCGGCCTGCAGCAGCGCGCGGTACCTGCGGCAGATTGGGGGCGACGGCGGCGACGGCGGTGTGGCGTTCCGCGAGCCGATCAGCGTCGCCGTCGGGCGTGCTGGCGCGGGCGAGCGTGCGGCGGCGGAGCCTTTGCTCCACGTGGCCGACTGGGACCGGGTCTACGTGCTGACGCTGCAGGGGGCGCCGCTGCAGGTGATCCCCGTGGCGGGGAGCAGCACGCGGCGTGTCAACGGCATCTGCCTCGACGCCCGGCGGGTAGGGGTGTTGGGCGGGGGAGCGCGTCGATTGGGCGGCAGCGCGCACCTACATGGCCTGGCCAGCGTCGCGCATGAGAGCGAAAGCGAGGGCTGCAGAGGCGCTTCAAGCGAGGGTGGCCTCTTCACGGGCCTCTTCACGGGGGGGGGGGAGTCTTCGAACCGATGCTAACAAGAGAGATTCCACCCACCCATGAAGCGCTTGAATACCCCCCTTGGCGGTGCTGCGCAAGAGATCCTCGTGAATTCTTAAAATACACGTCTCTCACAGTAACTTGCGGTTGTGAACAGGGTCGTTTGGTTATATCCGCATGTTACAATCGCGAGGACGCAATACATGGCACACATTGCGGAATTCGCACTCTACCCCTCTCCGTGAAACTAAGAAGGGGATATGGGAGGAGGGTGGGATCAGAGAATCGAGGCCACTGGCCTCTGCTCCCGCCTGGGATCGCCCATTGCGACCCAGAGCTAAGAGAGACATCGCGAAAACCGCGCCAATAAGTTGCTGCCGATAAGTTCGCCCGACGGCGGCGCGGCGTGCAATAATTGCAAATAGGAAACCGCGCCAGACCGGCGGCGCCGAAGTGGAACGGCGCCTCGCACGGCGGACACCAGCAATATTAATAATTGACTTGAGCCGCCATGGTAGGACGCCGCCCTGAATGATGACGGCAAAGCAACCCGAATAATAAAAGCCATTGCTCCCTCAGTGTAAACGACTGTGAATACCGAACTCCCCCATTCACACCTAGTCACCGTGGCCCAACTGGGGTCAAGCCTGCAGTAACTTGCGGTTGTGAACAGGGTCGTTTGGTTATATCCGCATGTTACAATCGCGAGGACGCAATACATGGCACACATTGCGGAATTCGCACTCCCAAAGCTGAGGCAAAACCCAAACTGGAAAGCGAAGCCGACGAAGAGCGCGAGCACGAAGGCGGAAGAGATGTGCCTCGGTGACTCGGAAAAAGAAATACAAGCGGGGCGGTCAAGAATCCTGGCGCAGAGCACGACTGCCTCCATCTGGCAGATGCGTCCGGCGGAGATGGCCTGGACGATATCGCCCTTGGAGGTATCGGCAGTGATGGAGAAGGGCGTGCCCGCGGCTGGGCGGCGGCGCATCGCCACAAGGGCCTGAAGGGCGTTCGTCCCAAAGATGCGCAGGTAGCGCGGCCGGATGAGGGTGGCAAGAGTGACGGTACTCACGACTCCGACGCCTGCCATCGCCGACGCGTTGGTCGCGACAATGGTGATGGTCGGGCACCGTTGATCTGTGTCGTAGGTGCAGGATGCGATCGAGCTGCCACACGAAGGGCAAACAGCGCCGACTCCCCCGAGCCCCCCGAGGACTAGTAGCGGGATCATGACAAGGCCGTACTGGTAAACGGCGACGGAAAGCGTGCAAAGCAGGCCACCGCGGGCTCGGAGATAGGCGTGGAGGAGGGAGACCGACTCTTCTGAAGGCTCGTCAGCATGAGCACCGCCTCCACGGACTCGGCGGAGCAGGGAATCGATCCGGGTCTCAAGCACGTACGTCTTGATGTACGTGTCCATGAAGTAGCCAACGTGCCGCCCCATGGAGCGCATGGCGAGGTAGATGGCGGAGAAGGTGAGGAGCACACCTGCATAAGGACCCATCGCCGCGTAGTCCCGGAACGGCTCGGCAATCGCCGCCGCCCCGTGGCGGAACAAGGGGTACCCTCCACTGAGGAGGAGGAGGACGCGGACAGGGGTGTAGTCACAGAGTGCGCGAACCTGATAGCCGACACAGTAGACGAAGACGGCCATCCTGAGGAAGAAGAGGAGCTCAGGTCCCCCGTCACCGCTTGTCACCAGCTCAATCAGGGTGGTACCCAGCAGGTAGAGGAGGACTGCCCCAGCCCCGGCACGGTAGACCCGGCTAGTGAGAAGGGCTGCAAGACCGTCATAAGCGAGGCCCACGGCGATCGACCAGAGGAATAACGTGAACTCGATCGTAGTGTAGGCCCAGCCCATCAGAGAATCGAGGCCACTGGCCTCTGCTCCCGCCTGGGATCGCCCATTGCGACCCAGAGCTAAGAGAGACATCGCGAAAACCGCGCCAATAAGTTGCTGCCGATAAGTTCGCCCGACGGCGGCGCGGCGTGCAATAATTGCAAATAGGAAACCGCGCCAGACCGGCGGCGCCGAAGTGGAACGGCGCCTCGCACGGCGGACACCAGCAATATTAATAATTGACTTGAGCCGCCATGGTAGGACGCCGCCCTGAATGATGACGGCAAAGCAACCCGAATAATAAAAGCCATTGCTCCCTCAGTGTAAACGACTGTGAATACCGAACTCCCCCATTCACACCTAGTCACCGTGGCCCAACTGGGGTCAAGCCTGCAGCACATTCGTAGAAACACCCGTTCTCCGCGCGCTTCTTCCTCCCTCCCACCCTCCCACCCATGCCCGGCCGAACCGGCGCTGGCAAAGGGCGCGGACACGCTTCAACGGCGGCTGCTGCGCCGCTCGCGCTGCCGAAAAAGATCCAAGCCGCGGCGGCGGCCGGCAAGGCGGGCGTGGTGCAGACGTGGCTCGCCGGGGATGGGCGGGTTGATGCGACGTGCGTGCGTGGCGGTGTGAGTGGCTGTACGCTCCTGCTGATCGCCGCCGCCCACGGTCACAAGCAGCTGGTAGAGGTTCTGCTGAAGCGGGGCGCGAAGCCGAACGCGCAAAACAGCATCGGCAATACGGCGCTGATGGCCGCCGCCGTCAACGGCCGCGCGCAGGTGGTCGAGACGCTGCTGCAGCACGGCGTGGAGATCAACCTTCAAGCTACGGCGCTGATGGCCGCCGCCAACGAAGGCCACGTGAAAATGGCCGAGACGCTGCTGATGCACGGCGCGGAGATCATTCCGAGCAGCCGCGATTGCACTGCGCTAATGTTGGCCGCCAACCAAGGCCACGAGCGGGTGGTCGACTTGCTTCTGCGGCACGGGGCGGAGGTCGACTTGCAGGACAGCGCCGGCTACACTGCGCTCACAGCCGCCGCCTTCTACGACCGCCCTATCGTCGTCCTCCAGCTTCTGCGGGCGGGCGCAGACATGGCGCTGCGCACTGCGGACGGCCACACAGCGCTGCAGATCACCAAGGCGAGGGGCCACACCGAGTGCGTCGCGGCTGTCAAGACGTTTCTCGGCGAGGTGGCGGCGGAGAGGCGCGACGCGGCGGCGGTCGAGGCGGGCGGCGCGGGGGCAGGCAGCGCTTCGGGCGGCGAGGGTGGCAGCAGCGAGCCTGTTCCCAATGAGATCGGCGAGGCGGGCGCCGCAGGGTCGGACGGCGATGCCGCCTCGAGCAAGGGGGCAGCGGCGGCACCAACTGCCGCGTCCTCTTCTGGCGGCGTGGAGAGCGGAACGGGCGAGGACGCCGTCCCCGAGGGGATCGTGGAAGCGGATGTGCAAGGCGACGAGGCGGTGGTGCTGGCGTGGCTCGACGGCGGCGGGCTGGTGGACGCGACTTTCACTCATGACGGTGTGAGCGGCAATACGCTGCTGATGTACGCCGCCCTCTACGGCCACGAGCGGCTGGCCGCGATGCTGCTGCAGCGTGGCGCTTCGGTCCACCTTCAGGACAGCGAAGGCGGCACCGCGCTGCTGTATGCCGCCCAGAAAGGCTACGAGCGGGTGGCCGAGCTGCTGCTGCAGCACGGGGCGGAGATCAACCTGCAGAACAGTGGCGGCCTCACCGCGCTGATGCTCGCCGCCCTCTTCGACCGCCCCGCCGTCGTGCGGCGCTTGCTGCGGGCGGGCGCCGACACGAAGCTGCGCACGGCGGCTGGACACACAGCGCTGCAGATTGCCAAGGAGAAGGGCCACACCGAGTGCGTGCGCGCCCTCGAGGAGCATGCGGCGGCCCAGAGGGCGGCAGAGAAGGCGGCGAAGGAGGCGGTGTGGGCTGCGGGGGCCGCGGAGAGGGCAGCGGAGCGGGCGGCGGCGGAGGCGGAGGCGGCGCGGCACGCCGAGGAGCTGCTGGCGGAGGTCGAGGCGGAGACGCGCGTAAAGGGCAAGAAGGGCAAGAAGAAGAAGAAGGGCGGCGGGAGCGGCGGCGCTGGGCCGTCGCAGGAGTCCGAGGCGCCGGCAGAGGAGGCAGCTGCAGCCAAGCCCGCGAAGCTGGACAGGGAGGGGCTGATCAGGCTTCTCGAGACGCTCCACGAGGAGCGGATTCGGTACGGCATCACGGCGGAGACGTCGGTCGAGGGGCTGGCGGAGGCGTTGGGAGAGGAGGCCGAGGCGGCAGGCGAAGCGAGCGAGGAGGAGACGGCAGAGGCGGGTGAGGAGGCAGCTTTGGTGGCAGCGGAGGCGCGCCGGGAGGCGGAAGCCGAGGCCGACGCTCTGGCAGCAGCAGAGGAGGAGGCGGCCGCGGCGGAGGAGGAGGCGGCCGTTGCGACGGCGCAGGCGGCAGCAGCGGCAGGTGCAGCAGCGGCAGCAGCGGCGGCGGCAGAGGCAGCAGCGGAGGCAGCCGAGGCGGCGGTCGCTTCCGCCAAGGCGAGGCGCGCGTCAGCGGCCGCCGCGAAGGCCAAGGCGGAGGCGGCCTAGCCGCGCCCAAAAAAGACCCAGGGCCCAGTGGCGACCGGGGAGGGGGGGGGGGGGGGGGCGAGGGAGGGATCTCTGCGCGGGTCGACTGATTCGTTTCACGTTTGTGACTCAGAGCTCGGCCTCGGGGCGTGTGCAGCGCGGCAGTGTGTCGCTGTCTGTCTGCACGACGTGCTGTTTCTGTGGAGACACTGGAGTGTGGAGAGAAAAAGGCGCGCTGCTGGACCAAAGTGCTGCTGCGGACGCGGGTCATACTACGAGTAACGTAAACACGAGACGAGCGGGCGCTCAGTACAATACAAGATCGTTCTCTGGTCGACCACTTCCGCTGCTGGCTTCGGTGCCTTGTGAGATCGCGCACTCAGTCACTCACTCTTCGTCCAAGTCGATGACCTCGGCAGAGCTCGGCGCTCGCCCGGCGGCTGCTCCGCCCGCCCCCGCCCTCCTCCCCGCCGCCGGCGCGGTGCCTTCCTCCCGCTGCCCCGCCGGCTGATCCTCGTCGCTGCTCAGCTCGATCGGGTCCGTCGCCGACGCCGCCGCCCCTCCGCCGCCCCGCCCCAAACCGGCGGGCGAGGCTCTGGCGCGCGCAGCCGATGCCGGCGCCGGCGCCGCCAGCGCGGGGCGCTTGCGGCCGCTGGGAGCGGCTCCCGCCGACGCAGCCGCAGCCCTCGCCGTCGGCTGCAGCTGCGTCGGCGGCAGCGCCACCCTTGCCGCCGCCGCAGATGCCGCAGATGCGCAGGCTCGCGCGGCGGCGGCGGCGGCGGCGGCGGACGCCGCCGTCCCGAGCCCCGGCCGCAAGCTTGCGTTTGCGGCGGTCACCTCGACGAGGTCCTCGCCGGGCGCGAGGGCCGAGGAGGCGCCCCCGTGGCTCATGACAGGGCGCACCCGGCGGAAGATGTGCTGCCGCGGGTGGGTGCGACCATCGTGCAGCTGCAGCCTGCGGCTGCCTCCACCCGCCCACGCGACGCACTTGACGCACAGCTCCACTGGCACCTCGCACTGCACGCACTGCAGCCGCGGGCCCACGACGGGATCGTCGCAGCCGCTGCAGCGCACCGCGACGCCCGGCCGCACCTGGTGCTCCTCTCTCGCGTCGCGCCTCAGCCGCCGCTCGCGCAGTGCGCCGCCCTCCCCTTCGCCGCCGCCCTCCCCTCCGCCGCCGCCCCCGGCGGCTCCTCCGCCGCCGTCCTCCTCCGCCGCGTAGTCTGCGGCGCCGCGCAGGTCGGCCTCGTACTTGAGCGCAGAGTTGGGCTGGCCCTCACACCAGACAAACGGCTTGCCGCAGCCCCGCTGCTGGTTGCCGCCGTGCGCGTCGCTGCCGCAGACGAGCATGTCGCACCCCTCCATCTTTTCGACGACGCGGCGGCAGTGCGGGCAGCGCTTGCAGTGCGCCTGCTTCCACAGCTCCATCCTGCGCAGCTCGTCGAAGCGAGAGAGCGCGTCGCGCGTCGCGTCGTCGAGCGAGCCCTTGGCCTGCGCGTGCGCCGCAAGCGCCGGGCTCCACCGCTCTCCGTCGAGCCGCACCGCTGCCTGCAGGAAGGGGGCGAGCTCGTCCTGCAGGAAGCGGACCCAGCGCGCGCTCAGCCGGAGCGCCTCGGCGCACGTCGACCGCACGTGGAAGGGCTGGCGGCAGGCGCTGCAGAAGACGGCGCCGCATGCGCGCCTGGAGCACTCGAGGCGCTGCGGCCGGTCCGAGTGCGGCACGGGAGGGACGTACCACTCCTCGCAGCCCTTGCCGATGCACTGGACCGCGCCTCGCCGCGCGCGCTCGGCGCCCAGGTAGACTTCGTCGAGCTTGGATGCGAAGGTCTCGCGCTGGCTCGGAGGCAGCTGAGCGGCGTCGAGCGCCGTCAATGCCCTACGCTTGCTCACCGCGCCGCATTTCTGGTCCTTGAATGGACACGCTGGCACGAGGCCCTCGCCGAGAGACGACTCGCAACACCGCCAGCAGCACTCGGCGCACAAGCCGTGGGCGGACGACGCGCAGAGCGGAGAGAGCGGCGCGGTGTCAAAGCAGGAGGCGCACTCCTGGGTGGAGGAACCGGCGGCCATGGCGCGGGCGAGGTTTCGGTGCTTCGAAGCTTGCGGCGGCAATTTCCACCGGCACCACGGCGAGGTTTCGGTGCTTGGAAGCCTGGGCGAGCGCGGATGCGTGATGGCGTGAACCGCAAGGTGAAGTTGTTTTTTTTCTTTCTCGTCCTCAATCGATTGCACTCGCTCACGCGCTCTAGACTAGAGTGTCGGTGTCCTAAGCTACCTACCCCCACCACAGGAGCAGTCAACGACTATGTGTGTGTGTGTGTGTGTGTGTGTGTGTGTGTGTGTGTGTGTGTGTGTGTGTGTGTGTGTGTGTGTGTGTGTGTGTGTGTGTGTGTGTGTGTGTGTGTGTGTGTGTGTGTGTGTGTGTGTGTGTGTGTGTGTGTGTGTGTGTGTGTGTGTGTGTGTGTGTGTGTGTGTCGCGCGCGCGCGCCTTCACACTCACTCACACGCTAACAAAGAAACAAAATCAACTCTCCCTCTCCAATGAGGGTAGCGAGTCTTCTTTTTCGCGTGAGCTTGCACAAATGCTGCTGGGTGAACAGGCGCCCTAGCCGCCCTGTATTCTTCTCTCGCTCCTCTGCCCATGCCTGGTCTTGTCGTTGTTTCGTACCCATGTCTGGATGGCGATCGATGCTGCCTTCCTTGCTACTGCATCCCTCGTCACATCTCCGGCGAGCCGCGCTCTCTCTTTCTTTCAAGACCCCTAGCTTCGCTCGGCGTGGGGCATGCTCGTCTCGAGATGGAGCCGACTGCACACCTCAGTTACAGTAACCCAAAACAACCTGACGTGGCGGCGGCGGCGAACATCGGCGACGGGCATGTGCGCTCGTTGGCGATTTGAAACTTACGAGTTCGCTCAAGTGCAAGGGTGGCGATCGGCTCGGCTGGAAGGGGGCTTTTGTCGCCTTCGTCAACACCGAGCGGGAGCTGCTCGACTTAGTGATAGGGCATGCTGCATGGTCACGGCCAGGGGGGAGGCGGAGGCGGAGGCGGCAGAAGAGGAGGAGGAGGAGAGTGAGGGGGAAACGGAGGCTCCAGTGACGGCCCCCTACAAGGGCGGCGACTACGGTTCGCGCGGGAGAAGAATTGCGACCTGCGCTTGCTTGACTTCGAGACTTTCGGCGGGAACAGCGTCCGCGCTCTTCTTCGGCAGGCGGCGAACCAGCCGAGTAACAAACTGTCGCACGCTCAGCACCTGCTCTGGGGGGAGGCGGGGCCCCTAGGGGGTACCCATGCGGGGGGGAGATGGGGTCCCATGGCCCGCCGCCGATTTTTCGATTTTTTTTATTTTTTGCGCGATTTTCTACTTGTTTTCATGAGAATTTCGCGTATTGCGACCATGCTATCACGCCTTGCGACAGCCTGTCGGCGCTGCTGACCGTGCCCTGCTGCACAATTGACCACCTGCATAGCTCGGGGCCTTAGTATCCAGCATTCAGTGACAACCTGATCGTACGGCCAGTAGGAAGGTGTCCTTCCAGCGCGTGCACGCTTCTGACGCAATGCGCGTCACGAACTGCCTCGGATTGGCTGCTGGCACTCTCGAGACTATGCCTACACAGCCTCGCGCGCATGGGCAGTCAAGAGGGACCATGCATCTTCTCACGACAGCGCCGGTGCCTCTCTCTTGGACCGGCAAACGTGGTGGTCTCGTGTCACCAATGTGGGACCAGTGCGGCATCGCGCCATCGACAGCTCTGAACTGCGCCTCACCACTGACCGGGAAGGCCGCCAAGTGGGTCAGCACCGATCGCACATTGTGGCAGCAGTCAGCAGTGCATGTCTGATAGCTAGAGCAGCAGCGTCAGGGTCGCAGGGTCGGATCGTGTCAAGCCTCTCGCCCGGCGGCCGCGTGCAGACGTCGGCCTGTCTGCTGTCTGGAGTGATCTGTCGGCGGTCAGTGCGACCGATCAGGTTGAAGTTTTCTGATGATTGGAGGGTCTGTTGTTTTGTAAATTCTTTTGGGGTATGCGTATGGTGAGGGAGTCTGTCAGTGCGGGCAGCGTGCAGGCAATCACGGGCGCTATTTTGTCGTATTCTCGGCGAGCGCTCCAAATTAGACCCCTTAGTTTGAATTTAAGGAGGCTGCTTTTGCGCGGCCTTCCGCATAAAGTAACGCGCTCTTCTTGTTTCCAACGCAGCTGCCACTCAGCACATGGGACTGGCGCGGAGGCACTCCCCGAACAATTCTTCGGGTGGTGAAATTCTTCGCGTGCTAAAATTCTTCTTTGCCCGAGACGGCCGTCCCGTTCATGCCGCACAGCTCCAAGCCCGTATCGTAGTATCGCACCTGCGCCATCGGCAGAGAGCTAGGACTGGTATCGCACCTGCGCCATCGGCAGAGTGCTAGGACTGGAGCGTCCGGCCGGTCACTCACCACAACAAACACCAAGGGCCACGCTCGGCCAGGTCATGGAGGAAGCCGCCATGTCTTCCGATGAGCATGAAGTCTTCCACGAGCGATATGCCGCATTCGGCCTGCAGTTCAAGCAGCTGTTTGCCGTGAAGGCCAAGCTGTCCTTCGCCAAGGCCAAGGCCGCGGCAGCGCAGAACCTTCGGTACACAGCCTACACGTCCGATGTCGGAGAAGCATTCCGGCCAGTCGTGCCAACCTGGGCGGTCAGAGGGACCTACGGGCTAGCGATATCGTACATCTTTGGCGAAATCGGCCTGACAACCTACCGCGAGCACGAGGCAGGCGGGGATGCGGCTCGAGCCTTTGCGCACGCGGCGCTCTTCCAAGGCATGGCATCGCTCGCGCTCCCGATGGTGATCATACATCAGACGGTCCACGCGGCGCAGGCCGTGACCAAGCGAATCGGGCGCTTCACCAAGTGGGGCCCGACCATCGCTGGCCTCGCGCTGATCCCCGCTCTGCCATACGCGATCGACGAGCCCTGCGAGATTGCAATCGACAACATCTTTGAGCAGATCTGGCCCGCAGCGGAGGCGGAGGCGGAGAGGCGAAGCCGGTTGGGGAAGAGGCAGTCGTCCCTCTCGTACGTTTTGCAGGCGGTTGGGGCGGATGGGGGAGGTGACATTACGGGCGGTACGGGCTCGGCGGGAGTCGAGGGTGGCGGGAGAGGACCGCAGCAGGGCGAGTAGGCTGCACGCTCGAGGGTATGGTGCGTGAAGACTGCGGTCAGTACCATTGCAAGGGGTTAGTGCCAGCATCGTAAAATTCTTTATTTCAAGGCGTTGCTGCGTCGATTTCTTTTGCAGTGCCACAGGACCAGGGGGCGGGCGGGGCGGCCGTTGATAGGCCGGCGGAGGCGGCGCGGTCGAGCCACGAGCGGGCGCGCGGGCGCGAGGGCCGGGCGAGGCGGGTTTGACGAGCGGGGCAGCGGGCGAGGTGGCCGCTTTCGTGGGCACGCATGGGGGAGGCGGCGCGGGCCGCGGCAGGAATCGGGGGCTGGGGAATCGGGGGCTGGGGAAAACGGTCAACCTCTGAGAGAGACGAGATCCACCTCTGCGGGATGCACAGAGGCCGCGACCGCGACAAAATGGACGGCTGCGAGGTTTATTTCAGTATACTACGACGAGCGCTGGGGTGCGTCACACCTTCTTGTACGGTGGTTTTGTGGTACGGCTTTATTTGGACGGTACTGCATGTGGGCTCTGGCGGCAAATTCACAGTGGCGCGCCAGCGGGTGGAGAGGTTCAGGTGTGTGCGCACGGGGAGAGGTACAGGTACAGGTACACAGCTGGCAAGTGTGTCAAGTCGAGCGGCGCATCGGCGGGCGTCATCGCTGCGCGACGTTTGCGGCGACGAGCTGGCGCAGGACGGCGCGGAAGACATGCGCATTGTCGCTCGCATATGCCTCGGTGGCGGCCGGTTCGCCCGATGGGCCTTGCTGGTCGAGGTTGACGAGGAGCACCTAGAGGCAGGAGGTCGCCGGCGTATGGCGAGCGCACGGCGGAGGAGGGCGGCGGGCGTGCGGCCGTGCGGCGCACCGCCACGGGCGAGGAAGTGTCTAGGAAGTGTCTAGGAAGTGTCTAGGAAGTGTCTAGGGAGGGCACCGCCACGAGCGGCCGCGCGCCAGTCGCGGCGCAGCCAGGCACCACGATGGCGAAGGAGCCGTTGGCAGCGAGGTGTCCCCAAGACTGCTCGGCGCCGTCCGCAGCCGCAAGCGCGACGCCTGCCCTCTCGGCGATGCCGAGCTGCACGCCCAGCCCAAATTCGGCGTCGTCGAACAAGCGATGCATCTTTGTCTGCCGGCCTGTTCCGGCCGCCGGCGCGGTGCGCCGCGAGCGAAGGCAGTCGGCGAGCGCACGCTGCGAGATGACGCGGCCGGTCGCTAGGGCACGCAACGCCTCGGCCGTGTCGCGCGCGCTCGCGTAGGCCTGGCAGCCAGGGAAGGGGGTGTGTAGGAAGTGTCTAGGAAGTGTCTGGGAAGTGCCTAGGAAGCGTAGGCCTGGCAGCCGGGCATGGCGGAGGCGCGCGCGATGGAGGAGCGGAGGGCGGAGGGCTCGATCCAGTTGAGCCGCCGGAAAGTGCTCTTCATCATCGTCGCCTTGGCCCTCTCCACCTCGCTCGCGCTCTCGGAGCTGCCCCTGGTGATGACCCCGAGGAAGTCTGTGAGCTCGAGCATGTCCGCCTGTTCACAGCTGGCGGCGTGAACAAGCGCTGGTCACAGCATGGCGCCGTAGAGCTGCAGCATGTCCGCCGCGAAGTCGGCGATGGTTGGGTTTCGCATCTTCGGCCACACCTCGGCCACCTCGTCGCCCTCGGGCGCGGTGAGGGAAAGGGCGCCGCCCCGGCCGGGGAGCGCCGCCTCCGCCATCGCGCTCCACGCGCGCCGCATGCTCGACCCACCGGAGCGGCACGCGTGCGCGACGAGCTGGCCGTACGCGATCGGCGTGTAGTACTGACACGTGCCCGGCGCCAGCAGCGGCGGCTCGGCCGCCACCGCGGCGGGCGTGCGCTCCTCGTCGCACAGCTCGGCGAACGTGCCGACGCAGTCGGGCACCAAGGTCCAGTGCCCGCTCGTGTGAGACAGAACCTGCTCGAGACTCGCGCGAGAGGGGCCAATCTCGCTTGCGAGCGACAAGCCGACCGTGCCGCCCCCGCCGCCGCCGCCGCCGCCGCCGCCGCCGCCGCCCTCCTCGATGAGTCGCAGCACGGCCGCCGCGACGAAGAGCTTCGAGATGTCGCGCAAGTTGAAGGCCGTCTGGCTCGTCACCGCGTGCGGCGTGAGGTACGAGGTGTGGCCGATCCTACGGGGAAGGCTCCGAGAAGGCTCCTGGAAGGCTCCCAGAAGGTGCGTGAGGTACGAGGTGTGGCCGAGCCCGATATCGGCGATCACGCCGCCGCTCGACGCGTCGAGCACGCAGAGCTGCGCGCCGAGCAGCCGCCCCTCGGCGTGCAGCGCGAGCAGCGAAGCCTCGGCCGAGGCGGCGAGCGAGCCGGGCGGAGGGCGCGGCGCGGCGGGCGGCAGCGGCGGTGCGAGGACGAAGCGAGGCGGGCCGTGCAGCTGCTCGCGCAGCTCGGCGGCGACGTCGAAGGGGGAGGCAGCGAGCAGCGCCGCGTAGCCCGACGAGATGAGGCGCTGCAGCAGCGGCAGCGAGACGTCGAGCGACGACGCAACCTCGAAGAGCAAGTTGACCGTCTTTGTGAACGGGAGCAGCGCCCCGCGGCAGATCTCCTCCACGCCGCCGGAGATCTGGACGTCGGCGTCGGCGCCGCCCTTGACCTGGCGCAAGATGGCCTCGAGCTGCTCGAAGTCTCCGCGCGCCTGCGCCGCCTGCTTTGTGTCGCGCAGCAAGAAGCGCAGCGTGCCCACCATGGTGTTCGGCATCGGGTCAGGCGGGCCTGCAAAGTCGCTCTGCGGCGCCCCGAGGTCGGCGCACGCCTGATAGAGACGAGCGGGAGACTGGGAAATGTGGGGGAGATATGGGGAGATACGGGGGAGATGCCGAGGTCGGCGCACGCCTCGCGCATCAGCAGCGTGTCCTCCATCGCCACCGCCATGAAGAGGCGCGTGTACGCGGTTCGCTCCGCCGGCGAGAGGCGGCGCGCCTGCCCCCAGTCCAGCACGGCGAGCCGCCCCGTGGCTGTCTCGACGAGGAGGTTGCCTGGGTGGGGGTCGCAGTTGAAGATCTCGCCGTGCATGGTCAGCGAGAAGGCGTCGACGAGCGCCGTCACGATCCGCGTCACCTCGAGCTCGCTCGCGCCGCGGCGGCGCACCTCCTTGATGTTCTCGCCCTCCACGTACTCCATGCCGAGCACGCGCCTCGTCGCCAGCGCGGGGAATACCTCGGGCACAAAGACGGCACCGCCCAGCTCCGACGCGGCGAGCAGCTCGCGCGCGGTCGCCTGGCTCTGCGCTTCGATCCGAAAGTCGAGCTCCGCGCGCGTCAGGACAGACAAGTCCTTGACGACGACTCGCATGTCCTGGAACAGGTGCGGGAAAGCAAACGACGCGAGCAGCGCCACGATCTGCGACGCGCCGATGTCGATCAGCAGCGAGCGCTCCACATGCCGGTGCTGCACCTGTACATTGTAGTGTGGGGGAGCATGCTGAGTCTCATTCCTACTGAGCGCTCCACATGCCGGTGCTGCACCTTGACCACTCCCTCAACCTCCTCCACCCGCCCGCCCTCGCGCACCACGCGCAGCCGCGCGCGGTGCACCTGCGCGATGGTGGCAGAGCCGAGCGGCGGGCCGTCGTACAGCTTGACCGACGAGCGCCACTCCGGCCCAAGCTCCGCCTACGAGCGTCCCTCACCTCCCATGTGTGATCCCACTCAGCTGTGGCCGGTCGACGTCGCTGCTCCGCCTCGAGCAGCCGGTGCACGGAGGGCAAGTCGTCGGCGGGCATCGCGTCCTGCAGCTGCGCGAGCTCGAGCTTGTACACCTCGGGCAGCGCCGACGAGACGGAGGTGGCCTGCGCCAGCTTGACCCAAAAGCCGCCGAGCGACGCGACCGTGTCGTACACGAAGCGAGCGTTGACGCGGTGGGTCATCTCCCAGAGGGCGTCGGCCGCGGCGGCGCTGCGCCCGCGCACGGCGAGCGACGCGCACCCCACGCGCCACGACACCACCGCGCACAGCCACACGATGCGGTAGTACCGCAGCACAAACGGGCGCAGCGGCACCAAGCCGGCGGCGGTGGCGGCGACGGCGGCGCGGCCGCGCCAGCCGGCGGCGTGGACAAAGGCGGTGGCGAGGAGGAGGAGGGTGAGGCCGATCGAGGCGGCGCGGAGGCCGTACCAGCACAGCGCCAGCCGATGTAGCGCGTCCTCAATGTACACCTCGAGCAGAGCCGCGTGAGACATGCCGCCGCCGCCGCCGCCACCGCCGGGGCCGTGGGAGTCAGCGACGGGGGGCGTCAAGCCGCCGCCGCCGCCCGCGAAGGGGCTTGGAGAGGTGGACGGCGTTGACGGCCCCGACGCCGACGCCGAGAGCGGGGAGGAGTGCGCCGACGGCGGCGGCTGCTGCCGGGCGAGGCTGAGATTGACGCGAGGCGGTCCGCGCGCGACGCACCGCTCGCAGGTGCGCTGGGAGCGGCCGGTGGAGGCGTCGAGGCGCTTGGGCGCGCAGCGGGCGCAGCAGACCTCGCCGCACACGCGGCAGTGGTGCCTTCGCCGCGACAGCTTGAACCGGCGCGCGCAGCACATGCACGCGGCCGCCTCTGCGTCGGCGACCCAGCGGACGACGGGAGGCGCTCCCGCCCCAAAGGCGACGTCCGCAAGGAGGGGGTGCAGGGCGGCGGCGTGCGGAGCGAGCTCCTCGCCCAGCCTCTGCACCGCCTCGAGCTCGCCCGCCACAGACATCTGCCCGCGAGCCATCAGCACCATCGCCGCAACTTGGCCCTCGGAAGCGAGGCGCCGCAGCGCCTCTGAGGACGCGAACCGCACGCGCGTGCGAGCGTCGGCACCGGAGCCAGGATCGACGACTGCCACGCTGATGGGCCCGCCAGCGCCGCCCGTGGCGCGAAACGCGCGCTCGGCCACGCAAAAGAAGATGTCTGCGGCCGTGCAGCACGGCAGAGCACTCAGCGAGGTGTTGAGTGCTTCGAGAGCAAGCGGCGAGACGGCTGCGCTGGTGTCAGTGCTGGCGGGGCTGGGTACGTCTGTGGGCCGGGTGCCGAGCGCTCGCGTTGGGGTGCGGCCCAATATGAAGCCCATGAAGGAGAAGGAGAAACCGGTCGGCCTCCCGTGGGTCGACGGAAGAATAAGCTGTGTCCTTCTCCCAGTCTGGTCGTGGTCGAGACCGAGGTGCCGAACTGAGAGGCACTACTGGAGGCTACCTCCGGCCACCGCTCGACTACCAAGGCACATGGCCGGTCCTGTGGCTTGCCTGGACTCGCTCAGAAGCCTCAATTCGCGCACACCTTTGCTCTCTGGCTCCCGCGAGTGCGTTCAGGCCACACAAAGGCGACGCCGAGCACCCGCAACGCATCTCGCTGGGGCGCCACCTATCGACCCGACTGATTGGCAGCATCAAAGCCGACCCCATGACGGTCTTTCAGCCCCACGAGATAGGCAGTTGCGCCCTGATCTCGGTCCAAGACGGCCAACGCCGTGTCCGGCACCTGCTGGCTGCTTCACGGGGATGCCCCCCCTGGACACATGCTGCAGCCCCGAGTGGATGTATTGGTCGTTTGTGGGTCCCACAAGACTACTCTAGTAGGGGCCAGGCGCTTGAGCGTCGGCGGTACACCTGTGCAGATGTTGCACGGGTGAAATGGCTCCTCGTACAGGGTAGGAGGCAGGTGGTGGGTTTGAGTGTCGTGAGTGCTTGCAGCCGCGAGTGTAGCACCGTTTGTGACTCCCATGGATGCAGTTGGGTGGGGCACGGTGCTGGGGGGCGGTCCGGTGCGCCACAACAGCCTCCCTGGCTGACCCCCATCCAGTTCAGCACCTCCATCCTGACCGTGGAACCCCAACTTCAACCGGTCATATCTCGGGCGGACTGGCACCTCAGGAGCTCATCCTGGGCGGTTTTGGGGAGTCTTGGGGGTGTACTTGAAGGTGGTAAAAAGAGTTTTGCACCGCAGCTTAACCGGCGGGCGTGCTGAGCAGCGTGAAAACAGAAGGACACAGCTTATGTTGCCCGTTCCTGGCGAGGTACTCCCACGCCTCTCGGGGTTTTTGTCTTGCTGGGGCGAGCATCGGCGAGACTGCGTCAGCTGTTCCCACAGCAGGCTGGAAGTACCTCGCCAGCCCTGTGCTTACTGACATCCTTTGACAGTTACGACGTGTGAAGGTTACGTGCGTTTGCAACGGCTGCGCCGTTGGCAAGGGGGGATGCGTTTCGCTTCTGCTTGGTCCTCGGTCGCCGATTTTAGGCCTCGGAAGTGCAACGGACGGCCGCTGTAGTCTCGCGGCATGATGGATGGTTGGTCCGAGTTTGCCCAGGAAGTTTAATTCCCACACACAGGCAACCGAGTGCGTGGATCACCCCCAAAGCCAACCAACAAATTCTCTGGCCTCAGCTGAGAAGGATAGGGTCGACGGGTGATGGGAGCGAGACCGAACGGCCGGGCATGCTCCCGCACGCCCGGGCAACTAGGTCATGGACCTCCCCCCTCCCCGAGTGTGTCGTGGAGATGGTAACTTGTTCATAATGCCGCTTGTACAACCACGATCGGACGCGAGGACGCAAGTCCACCAAACTCGGCCATTCCAACGGCCAGACCGCTCGCTTAAGGCTGATTGGCTAGACGAGCGGTCTACCTCCGACAGGGCGGTCCGACAGCGCGTGGATCCGGCCCGCCCCGGCGGGTTACGGTTTAGCGCGCCGACAGACCGCCCTCTCCATCACCCTCGCCCAGGGATCTACAATGCTGTCTTAAGGTCCGACCTGTGGGCTCCGGCCTGCGCTCGGCACCGGGCACCGCCTCGGTATACAAAACGCGCCTGCGGGCGGACCCTCACAGATCACAGATCACACACAGGCGGCGGCATCGGCGGGCTGCGGGCTAGAGAGCCCTGGCCCTGGGTGGGGGGTGCGCGGTCAGCCAGGGCCATAACACGTCTCCGAAAAATAAAATATTCTTACCTTCAAGCCCCCCTCCGAGACTAGGGACAGAACCCACCCGTACACAGGAGAGATGGGACTGCGCCTCGCCCCCACTTGCCCTGACTGCACAGGATTGCGTGCCCCGAAGACGGCGACACATAGCGGGGGACACTACGCAAGGAGAGGGTGCGAAGCCAAGGTTGGGGTTCTAGGTGGTGGGACCAATGAGGGGGGGAGGGCGGGATCCTGTGGGGGTGAAATGGTGCGCGGCGAATTCGACCCTACCCCCTCGCCGCGCCGATCCTCACGCGGAGGGTAAAAGGGTAAAACCCTGTGGGAGAAAACCCCTCCGCGGTCGGCAGTCTTCAGAGTGGACCCCCCCCCTCCCCAGCCTCCCCTGTTCGTTTTTCGCACCCCGCTCCCCATCGGTGACACGGACACTCGGGGTGGGGGGGGAGGGGTCCCCCAGAGAGGGGGCTTTGGGGCCTTGTTGGGTCGATCTCTCCCCCAGAGGGGCCTTGTTGGGTCGATCTCGGGTCGATCTCGGGTCGATCTCGGGTCGATCTCGGCCACCGCGGTCGAGTACTCCCTTAATGTAGGTAAACCATAAAAGTAGATTTGAATTCGTCCACGTACGGCTTCGTGAGTGGTTGGGGTGGCCTCAAGCATCCCCAAGGGAGCCTCTGCGGTGCCACATAAGCAGCTTGGTGATTGTCGAGACTTTGAAGGATCGTTTGAAGAAACGCAAACAGGCCAGACACTACTATGGTCACCAGTAAACCATAATTCGACTTTGAGGGATCATATCTCAAAAAGAGCCGGGAGATAACAGAGCATTATTGTTGCATATTATACCACATAAGGTCAAACTTGAGCATTATTGTTGCATATTATACCACATAAGGTCAAACTTGACCCCACAAGCATCAAGAACCCGATGCTCCGGCTCGACTGTGCCGGCACACTGCCTCCTCACGCCTGCTGCCAGCAGCCGTCGCGGCCCGTGGTGCACCAGAGAGAGAGGTCGACGCGTTGCCCCCGCCGGCGACCCCGCGCGGCTCAGGCCGACCAGAAGGTGTCTGGTGACGGCGCCGTGGCAGGAGTGCGGAGAAGAGCTCGCCGAACGCGAGCAGAAGATGTCCAAAGTGTGCCAGCGCGAGAGCCTCGCGAGCGGGCGCAGAAGGAGCTCGCCGTGACACGATGCCGGGCGGTGGTGGTGCTCTGGCGACTGTGCACAGTGGGAAAAGTCAGGCTGCAACAGGGCAGCACGATGGTAGTGCCCTGCTGCAGCCTGGCCTGACATGCACAGGGCGAACAGAGACACTACTATCGTCCGGCGCTCGTCGTCGAATCTGGGCCAACTTCGACCGCCGCCACAGCTCGCCACGAGCACGCAGCGACAAAATGTTGACTGTACGGAAGTTGAGGCTGGTCCATAGGAAGAGGCTGCCGTGCGAGCCGGCAGCAGGCTGGCTCGTCGTGGACTGCCGCGGCAACTTTTTATGGGCTACTCTGTTCATAGTAGCGTGCACGCTACTATGGTTTACCCACATTAAGGGAGTAGCCTAGGTGAGGAGGATGAGGCGAGATGAGGCGAGATGAGACGAGATGAGGCGAGATGAGGCGAGAAGAGGCGAGAAGAGGCGAGATGAGGCGAGATTAGGCGATATGAGGCGAGATTTGGCGAGGTGCAGCGAGATATCGCGAGATGCAGCCAGCTCATGCCTGGGGGAAGTCAGCATAATGCCTGGAGGGATTCGGCTTGGTGCCTGGAGGGAGCCAGCTTGATGCCTGGAGGGAGAGCCAGCTTGATGCCTGGAGATGCCTGGAGGGAGTCCGCCGCTTGGTGCCTTGAGGGGTCAGTTTCTGGATCCGTTGGTTCCTCTCGGCGACGCCCAATGCGTGCGCCGGCGTGGGGAGTGTGGGCGCGCGTGTGAGGTGTGGATTGTGGCAGACTGCTGCTGCTGCTGTGGGCCAGTGTGCTCTGTGTGCGGCGCTGCGCTCGCGTGCGGTGCGCGCGTGCTGTGCGCGTGTGTTGGAGTCGCGCGTGAGTCTGCGTGTGCTGCGCGCGCGCCGGCGTGTGCTGTGCGCTGTGCTCTGTTGTGCGCCCTGTTTGTGTAGCTGTGAGGCGCAGCCTTGGCTGGCAGGGCTGCGCGGTGGGCTACGGCGTGCTGCGGGTGGTCGTGCGCATGCCTGATGGTGTGCGGCGGCCGCGCAGCCCGCTCGACCGGGCCGTCGGCGGCCCAGGGAGCGAGTATGCCAATGTGCGCTGCATGTGAGGCTTCTGCGCGGCTGGCGCGTATGTTTCCGTGCGGAGAGGGACGCGCGTATGTGTTCACGCTGCGGGCGCGGGCGGGCGCGGAGGGTGGCGCGGTCTCACCGCGGTCCGACGCCGGTTGGTCTTCGGCGTGTCGAGGGCGGGCGCGCAAAAGCCTTGCCGCCATCGCGTTGCCGCGAAGGAAAAAGAAGTCCGGTCGGACACGGGAGTCTCCGAGGGTTAGACCCCCTTTACTCGGAGCAGGTCTCTCCCCGAGCGAGGGATGGTTCCGTGTACGGTGTCGGAGGCTACCCCTTAACTGCAGAATGCACCCTCTTCCTTGACCGTGGGGGGGGTGCACGGTCGCAGGGCCATATAACACGGGTCTCCGAGGGTTGGTTCTGCGCTTTGCCTTTGGGGTTCCCCTAGCTGCGGAACGCCCCCTCTACTGAGCCACACGAGAATCATACGCACCGCCCCCACGCAATACGGTAACAATACGTGTACTCGACGATAGGACGAGAATACGCACCCTCCAGACGCCTATAAAGAAAGCGGCGGGGGGGCGGGGGGGGCGGTTTCCTCGGAACTTTGAAAGTCCCAAGCGTCCTTTGAAAAACTTCGCGGACTATCTATGCCACACGCTATCCCGACGGTCCACAACCCACACTCTCGCTGCAGTCGATCCAGCCCTCGCACTCACCACTGGAGATCTAGCCGAGGCCCCCAGGCTGGGACAGGATTGGAGCCCCTGTGCTGCGTCTGTGGTGATATGTGGGGGACACTTTCTCCTCCCTATTCATGTGAGTCACTCGACTGCGTCGAGGGGGGGGGCGTCTGAACCACAGCGTGTCCCGGTCCGTAGTTTCTCTTCTTATCCGTTACCATGTAGAGCAAGGTCGAGGGCGGGCCCTTTCGGGCTCGGGCCGCCCTCTCGCCCGCACCTCTGCGGGGCTTGCACGGTGGGCACCGCGAGCGAGCGGCGCGCGGCGGTCTCGCGCGGGCCGTGTATACGCGGCGCGCTCACCAGTGTGCGCGGGCCTTCTAGGCCCGCGGGTAGTCTCCCCCATTCCCAGGGCCTCCAGGGCTCGCACCTCAACCTCTCACAGACCAGCGGAGAGCCCCAAGTATTTCCTTCTCAATACTGTTATATGATAGTAATAGAGCAGTTTGGTCGGAGGGCGCCCGGGTCGCCCCGGAGCGGCCCCGCGCGGGGAGGTGGGTGGAGGGCGGGCGCCACGCCGTCGGGCAGGCCGCGCGGGGACGCAGCCGGGGCCAGCGCGCGGCGCTAGAGGGCCGGGCGCAAACTTGTGGCACCTGCACTGGCACCGGCACCTGGGTGCCGCGAGTTATGGTGGTTCGAAATGCGGAGCGCGCAGTCCGTTGTGGTTCGAAACGCGATGCCTCCGTTGGGAGACACGGACGGCGCCGGCGGGAGCGACGCGGCCGGCGAGGCGCCGCAGTCGGTCGCCTTCCCGCCGGTGATCAGCGAGCCGGTCGAGCGTGACCAGTTGCATTCGAATCTGAGCACCACATTGAGGCCGTTGGTGGAGAGGGAGCGTCGCGAGCGAGGTGACGAGGATGGAGCTGTGGGTGTAGCCGGTCGAGGCACGGCCGCGTCGTCCACGACGAGTCGTCGGAGAAGGGCGAGACGTCGAAGCGCCGTGACGGTGATTCTCGGGCCGAGGCCGATGTCTCGTAGGGAGGAGCTGACTTGTCAGCGCCTTCGCAACGCGGTTCAATTGTGGACGACGGTGTACACGGGGATGGGATGGTGCGACGACATGCGGGACAAGCTGCGATTGCACATGCTTCTGCATGCTACGTGTTCGCACCGCGAGGTCGAACCGAGGTTTATACGGGTGTGGCTCCAGGGCCCGTGCTCCAGGATGCAGCGGCTGCGAACCGGCGCAGGTGTGTCCGCAATGCGCTCACTAACGTGGGTTGCGGGCATTAAGAAAACGTCGCATTAAGAAACCCTACAACAAAAGGCTGTGAAAGATCGCGCCTCAGGCCGGGTGAACCAATACCACACTGCACGACAAGGGCGCGGACTGGCGCGGACTGGCACACACCGGCACATCAAAAACAAGAAAAAAATCCCGCCCGCCCTCCCATGCGGCGCTTCTTGCAGTCCGCCACGCCAGCCTCCTCGTCGAAGCGGCAGGCGCTCGACCGTCCAGCTCAGCCGTGGGCGTGCGCGGTTTGCACATTCTTGCACAAGGGCGTCAGAGCCGAGCTCTTGTGGTGCGAGATGTGCGAGACAGCACGGCCAGCACCAGCGGCGGCAACAGAAGCGACAGCACCAGCGGCGGCAACAGAAGCGACAGCACCAGCGGCGGCAACAGAAGCGACACCAGCACCAGCACCAGCACCAGCACCAGCGGCACAGCCTGGACCCGTGCCTTCCCCTCCCACGCCAAGGGTGACCGGCAGCAACGCCTTCAGCGCTCTGATGCAGGGTGCGCGGCAGGCGGCTCGGGTGCTGCACTGCACGCTGCTTCCGGCGAAGGGCGAGCTCGGCTGGCGGGTGTCCTGGGCGACGTCAAACCCGGGCGCTGAAGCGGGCTGGTCGGAGGAGCTGACGCTGCGCTTCGGCGCGGGGGCGGCGTCGGCGCGCGTCCGGCTGCACGCGCCGCCGCTGAGCCAAACACGCCCGCCGCCGCCGCCGCTCCTGCTGCCGGGTGCGGCGGCGAGTGCGCCGATCTCGCCGCTGCTCAGCCTCCTCAAGTCCGCGCTGCAGAAGAGCGTCCGGCGCGGGCTGGTGGCGGAGGCGGTGGCGCTCGCGGCGGCGCTGCTGAGTGTGGCGGACGAGCACGGGCAGCGGGTGGGCGAGGGGGAGCTGCTGCGCCGGCTGCCGATCATATTTGTGGAGGACGTGCCAGCACGCCCTCCTGGAACCTTCTAGGAACCGTCCAGGAACCTTCTAGGACCCTTCCCTGTAGGACGCGCTGCCGCACGCGGGCTATCTGCCGCCGCTCTGCTGGCTGATGGCGGCGCACCCCAAGGGCCGCGACCACTCGCGAGTGGCCCGCCGTCCGCTGGAGTGAGCAGCGCCTCTTCACAGGGGGATGGCCGTGAACAGGCTACCCCCTCGACGCGTCGCACCACCGCCTGATCCTCGACGCCGTCGCCACCGTCGCGAGCGCGCGGTGGCGCGAGGTGTGGCCCGCGCCAGAGGGCGGCGGCAAGCCGGCGCCGCCCGCCTCTATGCTCGCGGACTTGGCCGACCACGCGTCGGCGTTCGGCGCCACGCCGTTTGCCGCCGCGGTGCCGCCGCCCGCGCTGCCCGCGACCGCCGCGGGCGACGGCGAGGTCGACGGCGTGGTCGGCGCGCTGCTGCTCCGCGCCGCGTTCGGAGGGATGGCGGGCGACATCGAGATGCTGCACGCGGCGGCGCGCGGTTGGGCGGAGCGTTCGGCGGAGGAGCGCGTGCGAGGGCGGCACGTTTGCGGCGCGAGTTGGGCGTGCAAGCTCGCGCGCGCGTACCTGCCCGCGGCGGACGCGCCGTCGCCGCGCGAGGCGCCGGCGACGCTGCCCAGCAGCCGCGCGGCGCTGGTGGCGCGGCTGTCGACGGCGGTGCCTGCGAGCGCAGTCGACTTTCACATCTCCAACGTGCTCGACGGAGCGCTGGCACAGCCAGAGGTGCGCCACGCCGCGCAGGAGGCGGCCTCATATCTCGGGTAATCTCGGGTGATCTCGGGTAATCTTAGGTGCGCCGCGCCGCGCAGGAGGCGGCGGGCGGCGCGGCGGGCGACGCGCTCAGCGGCCTCTGCAAGCAGGCGATGTGGCAGTGCTCCTCGTCAGTCACCAACAAGCACTTGTGGGAGCGCGGCGAGCGCGAGACGGCACACGGCCCCGCGGCGACGGCCGGCGCGCAGCTGCGAGCCACGCCGCCGCGGCTGCAGCTGCTCTGGGCGGCACTCTCGCCCGCGTGTGGGCGCTTCGCGGCGGAGCATGTCCAGCGGCATGTGGGACCGCGCTCCGCCTTGCGCGCCGCCGCTGCCTCTGCCGACGCCGACGCCGCCTCACCCGCAACCGCTGACGTGGCCGGCGCCGCGGCGGTCCGCGATGCGCCCGCGAGCCTGCAGGCGCTGGGCCCCTGCCAGCGCTCGGTGGGCCGGGGATCGGAGTCCGCCGTCGTGAACGCCGCCGCCGGCGGGCGTTGCGAGGTGCGCGCTCACGCGGTTCTGCGCGGCTTGTTCTTGGTGCACGATTTTGTGACCGAGGAGGAGGAGGCGGCGTTGCTGCAGTGGATGGATGGCCAGCAGCCGGGGTGGAGGCTGCGCCACTTCAACGGCCCGGCGCTCGGCATGCGATGGGGAGCGACGACGGACCTCCGGCGGCGCTCGGTCACGCTGGGGGCGCCGATGCCGCCGCCGCTGCTCGCGCTGACCGCCCGGATGCGCACGCTTCCGGTGCCGTCGCCACTGGCGGGCTTCGAGGCGAACGAGGCGAACGCGCTCAGGTACGTGCGTGCGGAGGGCCATTTCCTCGGCCCGCACTGCGACGACCGGCAGCTCTCCGGCGACACGCTCGTCAACCTCTCCCTCGCCGGCGAGGCGACGATGACCTATGCACACGACCGCGACGGCAGCCGCCCGCCGGTGCGCGTGCGGCTGCCGCGGCGCTCGCTGCAGATCCAGACGGAGGACGTGCGCTTCAACCACACGCATGGTATCGCCGCCGAGGATTTGCCAGAGCTGCGTGTGTCGGTCACCTTTCGGAGGGCCAAGTTGACCCAGTGAGGGACGGGCCCAGCCAGCCGCCAGCTGGTGGAGACGTAAGGTAACATTTCGTAACAGTAAGGTACGTCAGTAATAAATAACCTGCACACAAGGGTCGAAAGGTAGCCCCCCGCACTGGCAATTAAAGATTTAAAGTGCAGTGTGTGTGTGCGCGGTGTGTGTGTGTGTGCCGGATAGCGCCCCGCTTTAGCGCGGCTCGGGTTCTTTACAGGTGTAGCGACTATAGTGTCAGAGTCATTGAGTGTGTGTGTGTGTGAGCACGAACCATCCCCCACAATCTCCCCCTCACGCCCCACTTTTGCCCCTGCCCTCCCTTGCGCCCCCAACCCAACAACACCCAATCCCCACACACATTCACATTTGCATTTAGCGGCCCGTGCACTGTGATGTGAGGCTTCACTGTAAATTAATAACAGCTGGATAAGGCTTCGGCCACCGAGGCTTCGGCCACCGAGGCTTCGGCCAACGAGGCTTCGGCCAACGCTGGGCCAACGAGGCTTCGGCCAACGGAAAAAAAACTCCGACCCTCGCCCTCCCCGCCGCCCGCCCTTGCCTCCGCCCAGCCCTCCGCCCTCCGCCCTCGCCCTCCGCCCTTGCCCTGGCCGGCCTGGGTGGCATCTCTTCATCTTCACGCGCCAAGTGGGAGGGAAGTGGACGGGGCCCTGAGCCGACCTAGCCGCCAAACGGAATGGGGCGCCAAACCAACCCCTGCCTAGACGAGTACAGCTAAAGAGTACCCGGGGCTCCCCATGCGGGAGAGGGGGCCCGTGAACATCTTCAGCTTGTGAGCCAGGAAAAGGGTTGGCGCCAAACACGTGCCGGATTACCGTGACCCTTGCACGCCGGGCACGGCCTTTCGGTTCGTGAAGGGTCGGTGCGAGTCGTGACACCCTGGAACACACGACCCAGGCCATCTCCGTCCCTTGTTCGGCTGCGGCCTTATACCACCATGATCGGGAGGCGGCCAGGGATCACAGACTCGATCGAAAGATCCCATCCCGGGCTGGATACGACTTGTCGATCCACCTCCCGGGAGGCTCTGGACAGGGTGGCCCGCCACAACGACCCTGGAATTGCGACTCGCCGCTTTTCTCCACTGTGAACACACCTCAACCTCTCACAGACCAGCGCACAGCGCCATAGGACTATTTTCTTCTCAATAACAAGGCTGTGAATTTGCGTGAGCTCTGTGTCCTGATTTGCCAACAACATACCTATCTCTCGAGGTCTCGAGACAAAATACGATTACCTGCCTTGAGACATCCCGTTTGCTTTTTGAGCGACGCTGTGGCACGCCTGCGCAGGGGCCGCAGGGCGGTCAGTTGTGGGGCGAGGCGGTGCCGGCTGCGGGCCGGGTGCAAGGCGCCGGCCTCGGCGCCGCCTCGGCGCGCCGCACGGGCGCGGCGAGCCTCTGAGCGGGAGCCGAAGGTTTGCTACGGTGGTGGTAGGCGGTGGGGTGATCTGACTTTGCCGCAGAGGCCGTCCCTACTGTGAACAGCAAAACGGGACACCTTGCCTTCCGACATGGCCTGAGACATGGCCGCCCCCGCCCCCGAAAGCACGATCGCTAGCGGCTGGTTGAGCAAGCGGAGTTCGCAGAGCCGGCGGACACCGTTCAAGGTCTGGCGGTCACGCCTCATTACCGTCGATAATGTGGACGGCAAGCCACGCGTATGCTGGCGGAAGCGAGAGGGCGGCGAGGTGTGCGGCGAGGTGTTCCTCACCGAATTGTCGACGGTCGTGAGCCAGCCGACTGGTGAGCCAGAAATTGGCGCCCTCTCGATCGACGGGCCTCACCGCACCTTGCTGCTGCGCGGCACGGCCGCGACAGTACTGGCCATCGAAAAGGCGCTCGAAAAGGCAGACACGCCGCGGGAGGAGGCGGCGATTCGGCGACAGGCGGAATTTGCGCCGCGGGAGGCTGCGCTGGCGGAACGTGAGACAGACTTGGCGGCGCGCGAGACGGACGTGGCGGCGCAGCGTGGCATCGTGCTGGCGCAAAATGCGGCGTTCGAGGCGCGGGACGCAGCGCTGGAGGCCAAGGAGTCGGCAGCACAGACACACGAAGCGGACCTAGCTGAGAGACAGGCGGCGGCGGAGACGAGAGAAGCGGACCTGGCGGCGAGGGAGGCGGCGGCGGAGACGAGAGAAGCGGACCTGGCGGCGAGGGAGGCGGCGGCGGAGACGAGAGAAGCGGACCTGGCGGCGAGGGAGGCGGCGGTCCAGGAGCAGGAGGCTGCGTTGGCGGTGTCGGCGGCTCAGCGGCGCATAGAGGCGGCGGCTGCTGCTGCGGCTGCTGCTGCGGCTGCTGCTGCTGCGGCGGCACCTGCTGCGGCTGCTGTGGCTGCGTCAGAGGGCACGGGGGCGGGCCTGGCCGCCGAGACGGTGTGGCGCGACGCGAGCGGCGGACCTCCGCGCATCGGGGAGCCGCTGCTCAGTGCAGACGCGCCAGTGTACCGCGACCGGCTCGCCCGCGCCCGGCTCGCAAAGGCGCCGAGGTCATGAGATGGGGTGAGATCGGGCCGAGATCAGGCACGAGATCGGAGCGAGATCGGGCCCGCTGCGCGCTCGGCTCGCAACGCGGGGCCGCGGCAGCCTCGCTCCCCGCCAAGACCCCCCCCCCCCGGCCCGCGGTTCACGCAAAAGCACAACCCCCCAAGACGCACAAGCACAGACAGTCGAGAAGAGAGAGACAGCGACGGCAGTCAGAAGTCAGCGCTGGGTCCCAGGAAGGCGAATGCGATGACGGCCTCTGCCGCGGCCCATAGGACCCCTCCCTCGAGCCCGAGGTGGTCGTGCCGCCGCCGCCGGCCGAGCGGGCAGCCGCAGCGGAGCGGCTGGCCGCTCGACGGCTCGAGGAGGTCGAGGCTGCGCGGGCGGTGGCGGCGGCGGCGCAGGAGGCGGCGACCGCGGCGGAGGCGCGCGCCGCGTCGCGCGCGGAGGAGGCGGAGGCCCGAGCGGCGGCGGCAGCTACCAAGGTGCGCATCGCCCGATTCCGCCGCCACTCTCGCCACCTCCACCATCGCCCCCACCCCCAACCTCCGCCACCTCCAAGTCCGCCGCCGCCACCAGCCACCCGCCCCTCTGCGCCCCTCGCTTCCACGCGCGATGGCGGCGGGAGGAGGGGGTGGGGGGTGCAGGCAGAAGTGCGACGCCGAGTAGGCGGCGGCTGCCACCGCCAAGGCCGAGGCGGCGGCGCGGCTGGCGGAGGCGCGGGCGCAAGCCGCCGAGGCGGCGCTGGCCGGCGAGCGAGCCGCATCAGAGCAAGCCGCCGCGGAGGCGGCGGTGGCGGCGGCGGCGGCGCTCGAGCGGGCGGAGCGGTTGGCGACGGAGGAGAAGGGGAGCGGGGCGGAGGCGGAGGCGGAGGCGAAGGCGAAGCGGCGAGCGGTGGAGGCAGCCATGGAGGCGGCGGCGTGGGAGGAGGCGGCGAGGGAGGCGGCGGCGGGAGGCCGCGAGTTTGGCAAGGGCGGGGCGGAGAGGCAGGGCGCAGGTGCTCTCTCTCTCCCTGCCTCTCTCTCTCTTTCTCTCTCTCCCTCTCTCTTTCTCTTTCTCTCTCTTTCTCTTTCTCTCTCTTTCTCGCTCTCTCGCTCTCTCGCTCCCTCCCTCCCTCCCTCCCTCCCTCCCTCCCTCCCTCCCTCCCTCCCTCCCTCCCTCCCTC